AGGAGGAGGAGGAGGAGAAGGAGAAGGAGAAGGAGAAGGAGGGAAAGATGATGATGACGGAGCTGATGATGACGGAGACGAGTAAAGGACATTAAGGTCTTGCGGCGAGGTTTCTCTTTCGGAAAGCTGTGGTGCCCCCGTCCCACATGTGACTTTTCTCGGTTAGGTGTCATGTTATGCAGCCATCGCATCGAGTGTTGTTAGCACTTGTTGCTTCTTTCATGGTAGGCTTGCGGTCGGTCGCATGCTTCAGTCAAGGCGGCCTGACTACCAACCTTGTTGCTGGGAAATGCTCCACAGGAACTCTTCCACGGTGTGGACAGCATACAGTATACAAGCATGCGAATCCTTTGCGATGTAGGAGCAGGCTGTTGTTCTGGCAGAACCTTGTTTGCACAGAGGAATCAGGTTTGGAGCGAAGAGGAGGAAAGAGCCTTCATGTGTACGCGTTCGTCACCATGGTTGGATGGGGGAAGAACACTCTCTTGAACGAGCTGTCAAGTCTTGATGCAACGTCTTGTAAGGAACATTTTGGGAGCTCAATTCCACCTGTCATCCTAGAGTCTGATGAGATTGGCAAAGACAAGTTTTGGCCAGTGGTGGAAAAGACAATAAAAGATGGAGACGACGACTTGGATCATTTGATTCTCAACAAGAACTTCCCTCCTAACTCATGGAAGGTGTTTCGAGCTCTCTGGTCTTTTCCCTCTTCTTCTCACTATGCTGTAGGGAACAGTTAAGAGATTGAAGAGAGTTTGTGAGGAGAAGCAAAGAAATCTTTGCATACACGCTATTTTCCCCAAAAGGTATGATGGGACATGTTGATTGGTACACGCTAATGATATTCGCTGATTGCAGTGTAGGCTCGGAAAGAAATGCATTCAGCCTGTTCGACTGTGCGACGTGTTTGTATTCTGTCAAGAATCGACAAGAACACCCCAATCTTTCGTCGTCTGCAAACAACATCCCTGAAGTAGTCTCCTTGTTCTACAAGCTCTACCATGTCCCAGGTGACAACTTTGGGCATCAAATATGAATGACGTTGCAAAACAGGTGGGAGAAAGGAATTTTTGAACAATCTGCGAAACAATTTCACTGAAAGTGTCATTGAAGTCGATTGGATAAAGTCGGAGTGTATGGTCTCTACGTCACAAGATCTCGACAGGAAGGTATTATATCTTGCCGTTATATTTCTCGCAATGATGTTGAGAATGAAGATGGAAAAACTATTCTGGGTGACGAGAAAGATCAATCGAGCGAAAAAAGAGAATCAGAATGAGATTCCCGACGATCTTCGAAGTGAGCTTGACGCTGTCGTTGTGGACATCTTTGACAGGTTCCGATCTCTGATGTATCATATTGCTCTCTAAAGTTTTTTTTGTGCAGTCAAACAAACATTCAGATGTTTGAGACATGCAGACTCGAGCCGAGCCGTGTCTTACAATCTTTCTTGGAGAACCTTCCACGTTCTACATGAGAGTCGTTCTGCTCTTTCAACATTTGAGTTTCAATTCCTTGTCATCTCACGAGTATTTACGTCTTCTCTTCCTCTTTCATACTCTGCTCTTTTTCCTCGTGCGTTGGTAGCCCTATGACAAATGAAGAATGCAGTGATTTTTATGACAAAAGTACACTTAAAATCATCGGCAGTCTGACAAGCATGAAACTCAACGTATGTCTTGCCCGAACATAGCGTTCTTGTGTTCGTTAAAGGTCTTCGTCACCGTACCATCATCAACCTTGCTTTCAATTTCTCGATCTCCCCCTTGATAGCCTTGGCTGCTGTATAATCCTCTCGCTACACGTTGCAGTATCAGCCAATCTCAATGTCATGTGTTCTCTTTTCACCTCAACCGCGTTTTGCTTTTCTATCTCGAGGGTCGAGAGCCTGTCTTGTAACTTTTGTCTCTCTTCTCCGTTGCTTGCCTTCGACGGTCTCCGCAAAGCATCTTTCATACACGCTTCCTGAAAGAAACACAAACAAGAGCGTCAACATGAAAAGTTCGTTTGCAGGGCGATAACTCACCATCATAACATTGAGCTGGTCAATTTCTGACTTGACCGTCTTTGCTATCTGATAATCTGTGGACAACCTATTCAGCAAGTGTATTGCAAACACAACATAATGGACAACTCACCTTCTCTTTCAACTGCTGACCGCTTGTCCGCCTCTAGCTTCAAAATTTGTTCCCCTGCCACCCGAACTTTCTTCTCAAGCTCACTCAATCTCTGTTGAAACATAATCAGTACCATCATGTCCATAATTGTTATCATCATGATCATGATCTTCAATATTATTGCTAACGTCAACATCAACATCAACAGCATCTTACACACCATCACGATCACGATCATCATCATCATCATCATCATCATCATCATCATCATCACCATCATATCATCATCATCATCATCATCATCATCATCATCATCATCATCATCATCATCATAATGTCCACCACCACCACAATCATCCACAACAACATCATTGTCAACAACAACAACAACATTACCACCACCACTATCATCATTTCACCATCATCATCATCATCTCCATCGACATCTCTGCTATCATCTCATCATCGTCATTGCCTGCATCTTAGATTCATCCGCATCAGGATCGTCTTATACGCATCGCTCACCATGGCCTCTTCGAAATCTTCTCTATCTTTGCTGTCATTCTTTAGTCGCTGAATGTCCCGAAGAAACTTCCCAGCCATCGTGTTCACCCCCGCCGATTTTGCTTCCGCAGACAGAAAGTCCTCCTGCAAATCATGTCTCAATGAAAAGTAAGTTGGGGTTGAGGGGGAGGGAGAGGAGAGAGGAGAGGGAAGGAGGGAGGGAGGTGGGGAGCATGGGAAAGGGAGAAAGGGAGACGAGAGGGGGTAGAGGGAGGGAGGGAGGGAGGGAACAGGACCGAAACCAGTTCTCAAGATTGAGGAAATCTTACATGGAGGTCAATACCATGCAAGAGCATTTGGAATCCCAGCCCTTGCTGCCCAGCCTGAAGCAGTTTGCTGCTGTCCCCAACATGAATATCTCCCTCAACAGCAATATCTGCAATCCCAATCTGGTTGCACAGGTTCTTTGGATGCCCTAGAGGAGCAGACATGCACAGCTTGAGGAAGCAGCATCGAGCTTCCACCTCCAGCCTCTGCACTTGTCCTCCTTGCACGCCTGGACCAACCTTGCTGAACTTCAGGTACCCAACTCTCGCATACTTGGCCTTGGTATGCGATGGAGCCTCCCTGTATGACACGTTGCCTGCCATGAGCTCGATCTTGGAAGGTATGAAATGCTCATGGGAGAGGATAGAGATGCGATTCACAGCCACGACACCATTGAAGGCTAGGACTATCTCCTGCGGGAAGGAAGGAAACGGAGCAGAAACCCATCCTGTGCTGTGCGGCGTAGCATCGTGAAGGTTTGAAGGAGGAGAGCCGGTGGAGAAACTGTCACAGTGTACGACTGTGAAGGGAAGCCGCATCTGATCCCTCCCTCCACCTCCTCTTCCAGCCTCTACTTTCAATCTGGTTTCTTAACTTGGCTCCTGATGAAAATGTTGACCCTCTTGATCTTGCAGATTATTCCTTGATCTCGTGCTCCCTCTTGTGCTCCCTCTGCTTCTACTTCCCTTGCTCCTGCTCCTGCTCCTGCTCCTGCTCCTGCTCCTGCTCCTGCTCCTGCTCCTGCTCCTGCTCCTCCTGCTCCTGATGTCCGTTGATCTCTCCGGGTATTCAGTTCACTTGGAAAGGCTAAAGTAGTAATGCAATTGCTGTCCTCTTCTGAAGAATAGTGATTCAATGAGGCAGGCCCGCATTGAATATGTCGGGTCAATGTGCCATGATCCTGGTTACACTTCCTCCCCATGACCCCTCTCCTCCTCCCTGCCCCTCTCCCTCTCCCTCTCCCTCTCCCTCTCCTAAGGCATCTCCATGACAGTTTCCATGGACATATCTGCTCCTCTTTTTGGGGCCCACTCTCTTGACTCACCCCTTCCCATTCCTCTTGCCAACCTGATCAAATAACATCTCCATGAAAGGAAGAAAAATGTCGAAAGACCAAGTTTGGTGAGCCCGAGACAGAAAGGAGCTACAGGGAAATGTAACGACTACGAACCATCCACAAATAACGATAATAGCAGTAAGGAATAAACTAACTAACATGGATGACAGCTGACTTGAACTAATTCAAAAAATCGAAGTAGTCAGGAAAGAACTCTCGGATAAACATCAATTCCAGTAATACAAGAGAATCGACTAATTCTACGATGATCACATCAGAGACT